AAGTACGGTATTTAAGTACGGTATTGCCTGAAATTTGATTGAAATTTGACAGGAATTTTAAAATTTTGAGTGAATTTTTAACAATCAGAAAAATTTGCATACACGTGGACCTTTGTAACCCTTTAAGTTCGATAGAACGAAATTTATTACGGCAAAACGTGTTGAAGAATTTATCATGGAAAAATTATTTGTAAAATTCCAAAATTTCAAAGTTCTTGGTGTATTTTCAACGCCGATAATTGTTAATTTGAAAATTTACTATTAAAAATAATACTAAAGATCCCAGAGGGTTTTTAACATTTTAATTGAATAATTTTTATACAATAGACATTATTTGACAAAATTCATATATCATTTCATGCAAATTCATGAATAGTTTTATTTATTTTTATACTATTTAGGATTGAACAAAATATTTTGCCCAAAATTTGTTATTTAGTTTAGAAAAATATCCGACTAAATTTTAATTTTGGTTCTCCTTAATTTTTGTAAAATTTCAGTTTTTCACATAATTTGAACGAGATTTCCTCACTTTACTTACAAACCTCCATCACCGAAAAAATCGTCAAAATTAGCACCTCCGTCTCAAAATTACTCGGCGTTGACCTCTGATCAGCTTAAATTTCTGACAACGGGTGAAATATGGCGCAGTTTAAACAAAAGGATCCGAATGAATTGAAAGATTTCTCAATTTAAGCCTTAAAGTTTCGAATTTTGTTATAAAATTTTTGTTTTTTCACATAATTCTAACTAGATTTCCATAGTTTATTTACAAACGTCCGTCGCCGAAATTAGCACCACTGGCGCAAAATTACTCTTCTGATTAGCTAAAATTTCCGCCAACGTAATTCCTGTGCGTCCCTTGATGTGGGAAAAGTAGTGAAAAAAGCTGGTAAAAAGTAGTGGTGGGCATGTCAGGGATGTCACCCTCTCTCCGAAATAATAAATCGCTCGACACGCCACACGCCATCATGCAAAGTCGTCGGAGGAAAAAGTGGTTCCTTTTCTCTCTCGTCATCTCATTTCATTTAAGAAGACGAAATTCGAACGCAACCAACCCAACGCAACGCAACGCTTGTCTCCTTCACTCTCAGACAATGAATGCAGACGGAGAGAGAGAGGATTTTTCCTAGCCTTATTTATTTACGGGGAGAGTGAGTGAGAGAGAGAGAGAATATGTGAATGTATTATTAAACCGAGAGGATGTAGATGAGATGAAGATTGTTTTTTGGATTAGATTAGATGATGAAAATGTGGCAGAATTTTGAAAAAAGGATGAAGAAAGTTTCGAAAAAGAGGAGCAAATCTAGATGAAAATCTTGTAAAGAAAAATGTTAAAAACAAATTCCCGAATTGTATTAACTTGCAATTTTTTTGCACGGATGACAAAAATGTGGAGGTTGGTTTTCTGTAGGTTACTTGTTTATTTACCGGGTGTATACCGGGTTATTATACGAGGAAATCTGTCGGATTTCGAAAAAATTTGAAATTTTGCAAACTCGGTAAGTTTAATGAATCATGAAATTTATGTATTTAATTCTTAAAATTTTCACCTTCCTCGGAAAAAAAATCGGGTAAATTTTGGTAGATTAAGAGGAAATTTATCAGGATTTAGTAAGAAATGTATAAAATATTCGAGACATATTAAGAAATCGTGGAAATTTCAGTTGTAAAAAATTTAATTTTCCCAATGTGTCCTATGGATCTTAAATATAAACGAAATAGTAAATCTTACAATGAAATATTACTGGCGTTACTTAAATGCAGGATAAAAATTGTTGAAATAGGGGACTGTTTATAAGTATTTACTGGATTTTTTGCATGCATTGTTTGCATAAATCTCAAAAATACAAACATGAGTTGTGTACTTTAAACTTTCATAAAAATTTGAGGAACCATAGAAATTCTAGTTTTGAAAATTGTACTTCTTTCAAAGTGGCCCATGATCTGTACTACTAATGCAAATAGCAAATTTTATAATGAAACATTACTGGCGTTAAAGATAGGATAAAATAAATGCGACTTTTTGCTTACAATATATTTGCTGGATTTTTGATGTCTATTTTTTTCCACGGATCACAAAAATGGAGAGATTTCCTGCATTTAATTTACTTACGGGGTGGCAAAATATTATACGAGTAAAAGAGATGAGATAAAGTTTTTTTGTTTTATTAGATAAAGTTTTCGGACGATAGGAAGCGAAAATCTGTCGGATTTGGAAGAAAATTTGGGGAAATTTGAAATTTTGTAAAAATGTGACATTAAGAAACCGTAGAAATTTCAGGTTTCATAGTCTGTTCTTATTTCATGACAAGCTGATCCGGCATCTTAAATAGTAATGGAAATCGTAATCTTGTTAAAAAAATGTTCATGGCGTTAAAAAGAGAAAAAAAGATGTGACTTTTTGTTTACAGTATATTTTCTGGATTTTTTAAGTTAATATTTGTATTTTATGATCGGGGAAAGTTGGAAAATTTGTAATTTTGTAAAACTTGGTAACTTTAAGAAATCATGCATGGAAACATTGAAATTTTCAACTTCTTCAGAAAATACTATATTTCGATTTTTGTTAATTTTGTGGAAATATGAAAGACTTTTATATTTTCTAAAATTTTGTAGTATTTTTTTATTATCAAAAATATTGAAATAGTTTCTACATTTTAAAATTTGCAATTTTATAAAAATTGCGGAACATTAATGCTTAAAATGATGAAATACTTTAACTTTAATGTATGCTTTGGGAACAATCAGATCTAGAAGTTAACAATAACAGACTATAAAATTTTACAATTGGAAATTATTGGCGTTGAAATTGGCAAATAAAATCGAAAATTGTTTAAATGTGTGAAATTGTTGGATAATTTTATTTACACATTTACACATTTACACATATGTATAGCATTTTGCATCTCAGTTTTTTTAGCAATGAAAGCAAAATGAGTTGGAAAAAGATGATGGGGAAATACGAAACTTTTTAAGAATTTGCTTGATTCCGAAGTCATGCTAGCGTTAGATTTGTATTTATTTTCAGAGAGAAATACCGAGACACTTCACGCAGACCTTTGTAACTTTGTGAAATCCATAAATTTTGTAAAATAATAATTTTACAAACTCTTACTAAATGAAGAGACGCCCTTGATCAGAATAAGTTTACTAAAATTTATGAGCTAATTTGCTTTCGAAATATTTGTAAAAGTTTTTAAGTTTACAGAACTTACTGATTTTACAAGTTATCAATGACTGCCTGAATTAATATGACATGATTTTTTATGGGTAAAAATTTGCGATAACAATATGTTAAAAATTAGTATGAATTTGACGCAATTCGTTACATTTTTTGTGTGCGTATTTTTTTGCAAATGTCGCAGTTTTTCACATTGCAGAAATCCAGCAAAATTTCCTAATACTTCTACAAAAGTATTTTAAATCGTATTTTGTACGTTTCGCAAATTCTGCAAAATTTCCATACCCTAATTTTCCTGGCTATTGATCTGCCATACAATTCTTTAAAAAAGTTCGTATTGTTGATCATGAATGAGTAGAAATTGTGTATTCTTTTATTTTTCGTGTCGAGATGTGAATGAGTCTGCCCTGCGTTCACGATAAATGAGTGAGATTAGATTTTATGGTTTGTTTGGGTGTAATAAAACCGTTTTTTTATGGATCCAACAACATTCCTCGAGTCGTACACATAGTCGTCCCCGCACTGACTTCGTTCTACTACGAACCAACGAAGGAGCACAGGGCGGATATGTATTTATTTTCGAAAAATCGTAGAAATATTTTCGAATAAACGTAAAACTATTTACGAAATTCGTATTTATGTACTAAAAAATTATAAAAATTCGAATTTTTGTAAAATTTGCATTTTTGAATATAATCCTCTGAATTTTGTGTTTTTTCAATTTCTTTAACAAGAAAAAAACGAGGAGCACGGGGTGGATATGCATTCATGAAAAATGACTTATTTAATATTTATGAAAAAAGTTAAAATATGTACGAAATACGTACGTATGAAAAAACATGAAAATACGAATTTTCACAAAATTTCTATATTTGAATTTAATGCTCTGGATTTTTTGTGATCCAATGAAAAAATTTCGTCTCATGTGGTTTAAATATTTACAAAGTTTGTGCATATTCTTGAATAAAATGTGTAAAAGATTTGCCTCATTTCGAAATAATAGTGGAATAATATTTGCCTGAAAACTTAGAAACTTGTACAAATATGTAAATATATTTTGAAATTTTTCTAATCTACGCAAGTTAAGGAACAAAATTTGACTGTCGGTCGTCATCAAATGAAAAACTTGAAAATAACAAATACATATCCACCCTCTGCTTATAATAATCTCCATAAAATTAAATTAAACTTGCTCTTCCGCAAACTAACTAATTTATAACGAAAAAACTATAGACTTGAAAATGAATACATATCCGCCGTCTGCTCCGTCGAGGAGGAGGTTGACTTACTTGGCTGGGTTGTTGGAGGAGCCACTTAGTGAAATTTATGTCCCCATTAAACCCAACGGCAAGTGGCTTTTTAACGAACCGATAACCATAAAACAGGCCTCGACCTTCACACTACTTTTCCACGTTCGTACTTATTTTACGCTGCGTGGTGGTGGTGATCCTCGTAATAGTAATAATAATAAAAATGTTATCGGAGGGGGCAAGGTCATGGTTGCACCTTTTTGTTTATTTTTGAGGATTTTTTTGTGTAAACAGAGGAGAAATTTTTACGTGGATTTTTTTTGAAAATTGAAGAAAATTTGCACGTTGGGATAATACTTTTTTTCGAAATTTTATGGAAAGTCGTGTGGAACCGAATAATTACGTATTCAATTTTATTCGTAAAAACCTAATGTATGCTTGGACTTATTCAATATTTGTTATTTGAGAATTCGACGTCAAAATTGTTCAAATTTGTAATAATTACTTTCTCCATCTCAATTTGTACCGTCTTAAAACACTTTGTTAAAATTAATAAAATTTCTTACCTTTTTTGAAATTCCTGTCAAGTATTTCCAAACTCTTTTTGAAACTGAAACTGCAATTTTCTTTCTCGTGTAAAAAAACTCTCCTTGAAAATTAACCATGAAGAATAAACTGAGCATGGTATAAAAACCAACTTGTAAAATTCGAGGCTGCCTGAAAAAGTGCTCGCTTAAGAAAATAGTAGCCCTTAAAAATTATTTGCACTAATTCCACTTACTACTAATTCTCAACTTAAAACATAATGAGGCAATTCACGTGGTCATTGGTAACTTTGTAAAATCCGTGCGGTATGTAACCTAATTTTGCAAATTTTTCCAAAATAAAGAGACGCCCTTGATCTGAGCAAGTTTGCAAAAATTTGGGAGATAATTTTCCTTCGAAATATGTGTAAAATTTTCAGAATTTACGGAGTTTACAATGTTACCAAGGCCTGCGTGAATTGCCTCTTTCAAATTTTTCAAGTTTTACTACGAGATAGTTTTAAATTAAAAATATGAATCACAAACTTGAATTGCCAAAAAATATATAAAATTTGCTATATTTTTGAGAAATTTTCACCCCTGAAAAACTAAAATTCCACTTTATCGTCACTACTCCTTCTCCTCTGCACTCTTTTAGAAACTGAAAGTGTTGCAGTCTCCTTAAAATCGTGCAATCTTTATAAAACTCTCACCTTGAAAATCAATCAAGAAGAAACTGAGTGAGCCTACAATAAAAATAAGAATAAAATTCGAGGAGCCTTAGACAAAAATATAAAGCGAGGCCTTGAGCACATGGAGTAGGCAAGAAAATAATAAAAGAATAGGACAGGAACGACCACCTTCAGACAAAAACAGTGAGGTAATTTCCCACCCAAAAACCGACAAGGTGTAAACAAGTTGTAAAAATGCGAGGAAAAAAAGGGACACCAGTTGGTCAGCAGTTTTATTTTATGGCCGGTTTCATCCACAGAAAAGTCGAGTTAGAGTTACGTAAGTCTCAAGGTTTCCGAATGATTGACACCAATAAAATAAAAAGGGTTGCTTTTTCTTTTTGGTGAGAACTTGTTATAAAATTGCGTAACAAACAGAACAATTGGTGGCAAATGGGGGTTGTAAATTTGTTAATAAAAGTGTGGCCGTGAAGATGAAGATTTTTATGGGGTGTTTTTGAAGAAAGAATTGAATGAATTTTTGGGATTTTGTGTAGAGTCAGTTGTTGGCTTGGGGTTTGGAGGAGAGGACAGTTTTTTTTTTGGGGGGGGGAAATTGGGTGAAAATGAGAGTGAAATTAGGGAGAAGGAATTTGAAAAAGTGTGTTTTTAGGTGGATTATTGAGGTGCAAGTTTGTAGTGTTTTTTGAGAGTGCAGTGATTTGTAGATAAAATTTTGGCATTGATTTCGGTCTATTGGGATGAAAATGAGAATGAAATTTGGAAGAAGAAATTGGAAAAAGTGTGTTTTTGGGTGGATTATCAAGGTGTAAATTTGTGGTGTTTTTTTCGGTACAATTTTGGCACAGATTTCGATCGGTGGTTGAAAATAAATTTGTTACGTAAGTAAAATAAAGTGTGATTGTTTTGTGTTTTTTGAGAAAATCTTTGGGGTAGATTTAGTCCGGCTGGAGAGTTTGGGAGGTTGTTGGGTTTTAAGGGAGCGGAGGGTGAGTTTTTGGAAAATAAGAGAAAAATTTGGGGAATGAAAAAGTGTGTAAAGAATTGTGTTTTTGGTTAGATTAAGGTGCAAGTTTGGGATGTAGATACAAATCCAGTTTTTATGCTGTAGAAAATGAAGTGGTGTTTTACAAAATAGTTTTAAAAATTGGAATATTAAGTTGTGAGAGTGGGTATTATTTCTTAGGAAATTTTTGGAGCTCCAAATTTGTAATATTTAATGAAGTGTGTGTTTTTTGGAAATATTTCGAAATTAGGGGAGCCTTTACGTCGAAAAATTGTGTCCAACACATAAATACTTTACGTAGACGGTAAAAGATGTTTCTTGAAATTAGCTGGAAAGTGAAACTGTTTAAAAAATAGGTATAAAAACTTGGAATAAAAAAATTTTTGGAAATTTTGAGCTCAAAATTGTTTTGAGGTCTTGTTTTTTGAAAATATTGTGAAATAAGGGGAACTTTTTGAGTCGAAAACTGCTGCCCAAAATACAAGTAAATAATAAAAGGTATTTTTGAAACTATGAGCTGAAAAGTGTCATTTTTTGAACATTTGTTTGAAAAAAAATCGAACATGAAATTTTGAAAATGAGGGTTCAGCTTGGGAACAAAAGCGAAAAAAGAGTGGTTTCTGGATATTTTAGGAAATTTTGAGCTCCAAATTTGCACTGTTTTTTGATGAAGTGTGTGATTTTTGGAAATATTTCTAAATTTGAGGAGCCTTTACGTCGAAAAATTGTGTCCAAAACATAAATACTTCATATAGACAATAAAAGGTATTTATTGGAAATGCTGGGGAGTGAAGTGTTTGTTTATAAAATATGTATAAAAAATTGGAATACAAATTTTATGAAATTTTGAGCTCAAAATTTAAATTGTTTTTCGGTCTTGTTTTTTGGAAATATTGGGGAACTTTTTGAGTCTAAAAATCCTTCCCAAAATACAAGTAAATAATAAAATGTATTTTTGAAACTATGATGTGAAAAGTGTCATTTTTTGAACATTTGATTGAAAAAAATCGGACATGAAATTTTGAAAATGTGAGTTCAGCCTGGGAACAAAAGCGAAAAAGTGGTTTCTGGATAGAATTTATTTTGAGAGTGGTGTTTTGAAGGAAGGGAGGGTTGTGAGAGAGAAATGGCTTCTTTTTCTGGCTGTGAGAGGGATTGATGGGGTTTGAGACGATTGGATTTTCCGGCTGAAAGACTCAACCTCCTGAAAGAAACAAATGTTGTTAAACTTGTGAAAATAATTCCAAACGAAATCCACACTTAATTGGAAATGGGGAAGAAACAAATCAAAATTCGAGAGATTTTTTTTAAACGTAAGGAATTTTTACTTGTTTGCTTTTTTGCTTTTATCGCAAAAAGAAAGAGTTTACAAATATACTTTTTGCAACGTGTGTGTGCAAATTTTTTTGGCACAGAAAAAAATTACATGAATTTTTTTATATGAAAAATTATGAAGCATAATATATTTTTTTTCAGAGAAAAATTGACGTGAATTTTTGTTCCTATACAAATATAAAATTTATTATAAAGTTACAAAGAATAATGCTAGTAAATTTTTTAAGTATTTTCTTACTCTATTTAAAAATGAAATCTAAATTTTTGGTACAAAAGTCTTTGAAGGATTTTGGTTTGGTGAATTTCTTTAGCTGTGGAAAGATTGTAGTTTATTTGTAAATAGTTCCGGAAATATTTGTATTAAAGAATTAACTTTTTGTGCCACATAATTTGTAATTTATGAATTTTTAAAATAGTTAATAATTCAAAGCGTAAATGTTTAGGATTCACGTCAATATTAATATTTTAGTTTTTCCAAGCATCCTAAAGACAAATACAGATTGATCGAATAACGCTGGGGTGATTAAAAAAAATCAAGACTTTGAAAAATTCCTTTGATTTACATAATAATTTAGTAATTTAGTTAACTCTTCTTGTTACTTAATTTGCAATATATGGAATTTTAAAATAATTAATATTTCACAGCCGTAAATGTTTTGGAATCACGTCGATATTTGTATTTAAAATTTTCTCATTTTACTAAAGATAAGAACAGATTTAGGTTTTTCTTCTTATTTTTTTGTTGTTTTGTGTCATCTACTTTTTGACAATCTGTCCAAACTTTTGTAATGCTTACTAGTAATTTTTATGAATTTTATGCTCTTTACACTTTGTAAATTAAATTGCTGTATAGGAATTTTGTTAAATTTTGTCAAACAGAATTGCATTTTTTTTGGAAATTTTGGTTTTAATTTGTTACTGAAAGAATTTGTTTCTAATTTTATTTTTATGGGGGGCCAATTTGGACAAATTTATTGAAAAACATTGAACAATTTAGGGTTGATTTTTGTCCTAGGATGGACTTGATTTATCAAAATTTCAATCAATTTTGGTTGGATTTTGGAGCGTTAAAATTCGTAAAATTTTATTAAATAAGTTCCCAAATTTTTAGGGAACTTTTGGTCTAAACAAATTCTGAGAATTTATTTTTATTAGGAGCCAATTTGATCTTATTTATTGAAAAGTTGTGAAGAATTTGGGGTTGATTTTTATAGGAGGAGGATGGAATAAAAGGGTAAATATTGTAATATTGATCTCCTCCGCGTGGGTCGCGTCTCTGTCTCTCTAGGAAAATATTTTTATTACGAGAAACAAGACCGGAACGAGTCTGATGACTAGCCTGACATGTCTTCCTCCTTGATGCGAGGGGATTATTAGTTTGGACAGACACACTAAAAAATGCCCACTGTTTTTTTCTTTACCAATCATGTGGTAAAATCAGTACCATTTTTTTCTACTCTTGGAAACATTGAATCAGTTCAAGCAGGCCTTGGTAATACCAATGGTGCATTTTACGTTAGCCTTGGTAAGTCCGTAAGTACGTAAATTTGCAAAATTGCAAAGCTTACGGACTTCAGACGATGAAAGAACGTGACATCTAGTTAATTTCAAATTTATCAGGTTTATAATGAAAAATTAAATTCGACTTCTGTATTTGTCATAAAAAATGAAACATTTTCATTTTAAACTTTCAATAAAATTGTATATAATAATTTGCAACTAAATTTTCAAAAGTTATCGAGAAAAGTTTAAAAACATGGAGAAAATTGTAATTTCGAGGTACTACCAAGGGGTAACAATAATTTTGATCCTGATAGCTGAAAATTCCACTTGATTTGGTATTATTATATTGTTTTTGGTACCAGTTCTTGGTTACATAAGTATTTACAATGCGATGGTGTGAAGTGTGACCCTCCGATTGGGCTGAAATTTTAAAGTTGCGTGGTCCAAGTCAATACGACCAACGTCTCTTGAGGCAGTTTGAGCGTTGGTTACCAAGGTCTTCGTGAACTACCTCTCTAAAGTTTCAAAAAAACTAACTTGAATTTTTCTAGTTACCAAATATTACAACTTTTTTTTTACTCATCCTTACAAAATTTTGATAAAAAAGTCCCAATTTATTTCTAAGAGTGTCACTTCTGTTGGCATTTTCCCATTTTTTTAACCCACGTCAGGGCCAGGATACTCACAAAACTGTCTCAATTTTTGACAGTGCAGCTCACTGAACGGAAACATGGTTATGAATTGATACGCATGACGTGACGGGTTTGGAGCATAATGCCCGGGCGGAAATGCACACTTTTCTCTCGTGTAGAAATTTTGTACAAAAAAAGCATATCCAAAAAAAACACAAGGCCAATCTAAATAAAAAAGACGTCGTCGTCTCGTTTTTACGAGGAAATGATCCTGATGAGAGGCGTCTGAAGCGTCATTTTCCTCATTTTGCGTCATCATCATAATCATCATCATCATTTTGGATGAAGAAATTTCGAGATTTTGACGAGTTTTTGATTAGTCAAACAAAGAAATTTAAATTGTTGGTGGCATGCAATTTGAATTTTATGCAATTCAATTGCGGACGGGTGGGTGGATAAATGAGGAAGAAATTGTTATTTGGGGTGGACATGCTACCGAGTAATTTGACATTTTGGGTGGGCTTGACATTTAGAAGAAGAAAAAAATGACGAATATTTTGTAACGATGATGTTGACGGAATTATTTAAGTGGGCAAGTTGTCAATAAGAGGAGAGGGGGAAAGACGGGATGAATGTCACCGATTTTGAGGTTTAGGGGGCAAAATTCTGGTAAAAATAGGAGAAAGTTGAGACAAAATTGAGACAAAACTTGACAAAATTCGTACAAAATTCGTCCAAAATATTTAGAAAGTTCGTACAAAATTCCTAGGCACTCGAGACAAAATTCTACAAATTCAGAAGAAAATTAACACAAAAATCTTACCAAATTTGCGCAAAATTTATTCCAATTTGTACAAAGTTCAGACAAAGTTCAGCAAAAATTCTTGGAAACTTGAGACAAAATTTAACAAAGTTCGGTCAAAATCTTTAATAAAATAGCGTAAAATTTGTTCCACATTTATAGAAAATTAAAACAGAATTCTACAAAACTCACTCAATTGGTTCAAAATTTGTAGAAAATCCTGACAAAATTCAAACCAAATTCGTAGAAAATTTAGAAAAAATTCATACAAGTTTGTAGAAAATCCAGCAAAATTCGTGCAAAATTCGTTCAAAATTTTGACAAAATTCACACAAAATCCGACGAAATCCTGCCTGTCTGGTCCCCCTCTAACTCCTCAGTCGTGGAATTGTATCGTTTTTTGTTTGAACTAAGATGACTAATGGTTATTTGTGAGGTCGGGATAATTGGGAATTAACGACGACATGAAATTCAACGAGCTTGGCACATGTCAAGTCATGTCAAGATATCAAAACGACCACTTTTTCTTAATTGTCTCCGTCTTCTCTTTAAACAAGAAAAAAACAAACCATTTTGTATCCACGGATGAATTTTTGTCCACAAAATTGATTGATTGTTCGATTGAGAAAAAGGAGGAAGGGAAATTTATCTTGTTTTTGACAACGAACAAAATATGCATTCGTTGATATCATTAAGAAATGAGATGAAGAAAAAAAACGGGATCAATTTTTACGATTTTTATCCAGTAAATTGATTGATTAATTAAGAAACAAGTGGGGAAACTTATTATATTTTTGAAAGTAAAATTCAAGCTTCATAAAAACAACAACGAATTTTTATGAATCTCATTCAAGGAATTTAGAAAATACAAATTAATTTCAGTTTATTTTAAAAGTAAAATTTAAGTCTTGTGAAAAAACGACGAATTTTAGATCATTTATTCAATGAATTAATCAATTTAAAAAATTGAAAATTTGCTTAATTTTATTTTGGAACAATTCGAACCAAAATGCAAGTTTTTGTAAAAAAAACGACTATGTTTTACGATCTTTCTTCAATATTTTGATTTAATGAAAATTTATTTTATTTTATTTTGGAACCAAAATTTAACTTTTTTATAAAACGCCGAATTTATACGGATTTTCTCCAATGAATTGACTGAAAGAAAATTTATGTTATTTTACTTTGGAACCAAAATTTAAGCTTTTTTTATAACAAGATAGATCCCTAAAACGGGCGGCTTAGGTGAAGCGAAGGGAATTACGATTAAAATACTTGCAATAGCAACGAACCATAGCAATATGCAATATCACCACGTGAGCAGTGGTACTTGCATTTATGAATATTGTGGCCATTTCTTATCCGATTTTGATTATCTCAAAGTTTATTAGAAGCTAAAAATATGTAGAAACTTTTTTTCGGAGTACATTTTTGATTTAGGTCCTCAATTTTTTCGTATAAAGCAATATCACTTTTGGAGGGTGTTTTTTGAGAATATCTCAGGAATGGGTAGGCTCACAACCGACCAGAGTTGGAATCCAAAAGTAGACCATCGTAATTAACTCTCGGCACTTATTTCATAAAAATCGGTTAAGAAATGGTAAAGTAATGTGGTTTTGTCACTTTTGAACGTTGTAGTAACTGCATACTTAGGTGTTTTTTAATCATTAGATCACCATAGCTTCACCTAAGAAAAAACACCGAATTTTTACGAATTTTCTCCAATGAATTGACTGAATGAAAATGTATTTTATTTTATTCTGACGACACTTTCATCGTGATCATTAGCGGAAATGTAAATTTCTCTGAAAGAACAACCCACTGAATTCATTTATCCCTTTTGTTAATATAATTCTTGATGCAAATGACTAATCCAGAGGATTAAGTAGTGAGGAAAAGGTATTGTTTCGGAGGTAAATGAGGTGTAAAAAATGAGGATTTTATTTCATCTCGCTTTTATTCCAGGAAAAGTATAGTGTTGCCCGGTATTTTTCCACGTTTCTTTCGGTGGGAGTATTTTTTTTAGCGGGGCGAGACATTA